CAAAGGCCCAATTCATCTCAAGCTCACTCTACTCACTATATATATATAGTTCACATGCTATGAGAAAGTACACGATTTTTGATCTCCAATTTCACTTTACTCATCGTAAACCTTAACCTGACTTGGGCGTGAGATTACTAACCATGCAAGTCCATCTCGCGCTACCATAAAGGAGATCGGAACCACCGTTTGAGATCAACAGTTAACCGACTCTTATCATTTCAGATTCCTTCAAGAAGTTGAAACATCTATTTCTAATTTCTGGACAGAATATATATTAACATCCTTCTCTAAAGTCTGCTCCGTTCAAGATAGTTTAGAATTAATCATTCAAACTTAAAGAAATGATTTCTTTAATGAACTTTAAACATAATTAGATTTTACCTCTATTTGGAGAAGTTCAAATATACTCTATAAATCTAATAAGAATTTTCTTTTCAAGTTAAATTATCATCTATAATTCAATAAAAATGTAATTATATTTTTATTTAGTTATATATACAAAAAGTTATTTTTACCTATTCTCATATTTCCATGAAAATAAATATTATCAAAGTGACTTAGTTAGTATTCTCCCACAAATGTCTAAATATAAATACTAAATAATTTTATCAAATTGAATCTTAGTAAGTAATAACATTCATACAAACATGGGTTAAATACATAATATGGATTGTGGAGAAATTTAACTTGGCCAACATTTTTTAAGGCATTAAGGATCTTCTTCACCCGATTTAATATTTACACGATCAAACATATATTTTTTTATGTCATTTAAAGCTTAGTCGAATAGAAATGTTTTGAGCACCATAAATTTATAATTTTTTCATCTGACTTACAAACTTAATGTTAAATTGTTTCCTTTTAAACGTTTTAACAATAAAAGCAAACACACTAGCGCTTACAACCTAAAGAAACACTTCAAAGTAAACTATTATTAAAAAAGTTTAAAGAGAACAAACACTTTCATAAGACTAGGCTAAAAACCAAACACGGATTAAATCTATATAATGCGCAAGTATACATGGTCCACTATAGCAAGTGATAAAAAATAAAAATATCGTTTTCACGAGGAGTGTAATAATTTAGATTTATTTTCGAAACTATCTTTTGTGAATGAGCATGAGCCAAAAAATAACAATAGGTGATGATTTTTACAAGTTCAGTTTTTAAGTAAACAATGATAGAACTAAATGTGGGTTGAATAATTGAAATTAGTAATAGAGAATCTGTTGGGAAATGATCCATTAATATAACTTATCTATTATGCATATATGATGTGATATATTGTGCCGGATGAGGTCGAAACGTGATCTCATGGTATATTCTTACAACATCAAAAGCATATGCAAGAAAAAAGGGAAAAATTACTAATCCTCACTTTAATCTTTAATCCATGTATGGTTTCATTCCAACAGTCCCTTATGATTATATCTCTTTATTCCTAAAGTAACTAATTTAGTGAATATTTCTATCCTACTATTTTCAATCATATTTATCATGAAGTCCAATTGTTGATGGATTCCTTACACCAAAATGACCTTATCTTTTCTAAGATGATCAACCAAAAAATCAGAAATAGAACGATAGAATGCAAGATAAATCAACCACTAACATCACATCAACTAACACAAAATGTTAAGCCACGTTAACTTCACATTGCTCAACATAAAATAGTTTAGCTCATGATGAGCTCAGTAGATACATTAACACTGGTTCCTAAGTTAAATATTCTTAAACACATAATGAAAAAATAAATAAAAACCTATAGTAACTTCTTCGTCTTCTTGCAATCTTCAATCAACAACAGACGAGTTCTGTAACACCTGAGACTGATGCCTTATACTTGAGAAGAATAGAAGAGAAATTATCTAACTTGATTCAACTTACTTACAAATTTCTACCAAGTGTTTCTTTATGAGTCTAAACCTTCTTTTTTTTCCTTCAAGGTATTCTTTTATAGCCAGCCTCCTATAAGGTTTCATGATGAATTGGATCTTGGGCTTTTTGACTATCTATCGCTTTTGACCCATGAGACTCATCATATTCCCTCTATTTCTTCTCCTTCGTACCAGTACTAAGAGAGGTACACAACGCATGCAGGAGACAAAGCATTTGATGGCAGGGCTGCAACACAGAGGTGACAAGCAGCGCACTACAATGGCTATACTTTTTGCAGTCTTTTGACTTCTAGCACTTTGATCTTATCTCCTTTGTTTTATAGTTCAAGCACATTCCAATTTTTGGGTTGCTGTACATATCCATGAACATCCATTATTTGTAATCTGAATTGGGTTTTACACTTAGCTATACATTGGGGATAAAGTGGTGCTCCACTTCTGTCATTCTAGAACTTATTAGAAATTAGTCTTACACATGTAACAGATACATAAAAACTCACAAATGAGAGCACATATTGTGCTCTTCACAAGTTTACTTAAAGTAGCAAAAATGAACTTAAATGACTCTAACAAATTACTCAATAACAAGATGAAATCAAATATTAAGGGCTAGAATATCTCATATATAGTGAGTTATCACACCCCCAAACTTGAACCATTACTTGTCCTCAGGTGATGCGATAGACAATATCATAAATGAAAGATAACAATTCTATCCATCTCTTACTCTAGCATCTTATTTCATATATAAATCATAATTTATATAAGGGGACCACATCCAAAAATTGGTAGAACTGAGTCTTTTACAATTTAGTCTTGCTAGTGTGTTTGTGTGTCTTTATTGAAGCTACATCTCATGCCATAAGTCTTCATTCAAGATAATTAGCATAAATCCTAGTTTGATTATTATATCATATGGTCTAAGATTTTTTTTTAATAAAAAATTTAAGTAGGCTGGATCAATTAACTTGATTTTTGTTGGCTTTTCATTTCATTTTGAACTTGAGGCTTCTACTTGCATAACTTTTTCTTAATAAGTTTTGCTAGATGCTCCACTTTTTTACCTGACGCGATCTCACTTGTAATGAGTCCAACTTGTTACTGATGATGAAGGCATCTACTGTTCCTCCAGTTTCTAGCACATGAACTTTATTTATAATTCTCTTTGGCATTTTTCATTGGATTTGCACGCTTTTTGTGTTTCTTTGTAAATACAGTAGATCCTTGTGCTAGCCTTATTTTTTAGTGTTTTCCTCCCCTAAACTAAATCCTACAATTAATCTTATTCCATATTTTAGATCATTTCAAACTTCTTAAGAGGGTAACTAATTTTCTGACTTCTTCCAGTGTGGTAGGGTTGATCAAAAAGTCATAATTATTACCTTGTTTCTAATATTATCAGTATTTCAATTGGAAGTCTCCTAGGTATTTAGAAATTCTTCTATTTTGGAGATGAAATTAAGTATTTTTCTTTTTTTTTATAAGACAAAATCACACTAAAGAAAACATAAACATTTGACTTTGTTAACTCAAACACTTGAAACACAGAACATAAGACATTAAAACTGATAAAAAAAATTGGAAAAAAAAACATGAATTTAATTAATTAGCTTACTAAATTCATGAAGTAAGTCCTTTGGTGAGTTCTGGCATGCCATGACTTAGACACTACATAAAAATAGCAGGTGATGATGATTAGGAAATACTAGCTAGGCTTGAAGTCTGCTGCATTTCCTGGTGGCTTTTTCTTGCTCTGTCATCTTCCTCTTTTTCATCTCTTCTTTATTTGCAGCCTTAACTCTTCCCCTTTTCACTTTGGGGTTCTGCTGATTCAAGATTGCTGACTTATCAAACCCAACTGGTGGGTAGCATATTTCATCTGTATCCTTTTTTGGAATTCCTTGTGTTTTCCACAAACCAGTAATGAAGCTAAGGAAGTATATAACTCCATCCTTCTTTTTATAACACACTTGGATATCTTGGGAAATTACCATAGAAATATTCATCTGATTTTAAGAGGTGATGCAATGCAGAAGGACCAAACTAGCCTTTTTGATTGGTTCGTTATTAGTAGTGGACTTGAGAGAGTGCTTAAGGAATTTTTACTTACACTTTTTCCTGCTTATAAAAATATTTATATCAATAATAAATTTTTTTCTGTTTATAAAAATAATTGTATCAAAAATATAATTTTTTTCGTTTTATAAAAATAATTGTACGAACAGTACACTTTTTTCGTTTATAAAACAATTGTATTAAGCATACACTTTTTTCCGTTTTATCTACAATACACTTTTTACCATTTAAAAAAATATATTTGTATTAACATTAAATTTTTTCTCGTTTATAAAAATAAATTTATCAATAATACTCTTTTTACCATTTATAAAAATAATTGTATCAACAATACGTTTTTTTCTATTTATAAAAATAATTATATCAATGGTACACTTTTACATGTTTATAAAAATGTTTGCATCAATAATAAACTTTTTCATATCAACAATACACTTTTCTTCATTTATAAAAATATTTATATCAATAATACACGTATTTGTATCAACAATACATTTTTTCCATATATAAAAATATGTGTATCAACAATAAACTTTTTTCCATTTAAAAAAATATTTATATCTATAATAGTCTTTATTTCGTTTATAAATATATTTATAACAAACAATACACTTATTTCCGTTTATAAAAATAATTGTATCAACAGTTGACTTTTTCTCGTTTATGAATATATATATATATATATATATATTTTTTTTTTTTCGAACCAAGAAAGAATATACTAACTCAAAAAACAAATCAAGTACAGAACGGTGATCCAATGAGGATCCAACCCACCAACAGACTCAATTACATCATAAAACTAATAAGGTGTTTTCTAATCCTATTATTTTGCCATCCTCTATAAATCACATTATCTATGACTTTTGTAACCATGTTTGTATTCTCTACAATGTTTTCAAAAGTAATACTATTTTTATATTTCCAAATGCTGTAGACGGTTTCAGCTGTTAGCATCTTCAAAATATCAGCTTTCCATCCCTTCCCCTTTGTTAGATCAGTGATCCATGTTAGTTCTGCCTCTCATTGTTGGGATTCATGTTGGATGTTAAACAACTCGAGGGTTTCCTTCCATATGTGTTTTATTCTTGGACAGTGGAAAAATAGGTGGTTCATCGTTTCTTCTTCAGATTTGCACAAACTGCATATGTTGTCTTCAATCATTCCGAAACGTTTCAACCTTTCTTTGGTTGCAAGCTTCCCTTGACAAGCTTGCCATAAACATTGTACTGTTCTCGGTTGTCCCTTGTTGAATCTAATCAGTTTTCTCCAAGGTACTCTTGTGCCATTATCAATTAGTATCTTATAAAAGACTGTAGCTTTAAATTTGTGTGTAGTCATAGCTTGGTTCCATTCATTCCAGACCTTGTCCATGTAATCTCTTTGTTTCAAGACGCCCCGTATGATCCACGAATTATGTGTTTTGCTTTCATACGTCATCACGTCCTTGCCCTTTAAGTAGTGCGCGTGGATCCATTTGACCCACAGTGTGTCGGTTTTGTTGCAAATGTTCCACATACATTTCAAGAGAAGTACATTGTTCCAGGTTTGAAGGTTTAAGATGTTCATCCCACCTTGAGCAGTTGGGCTGCAAGCGGTTTTCCAGGCCACCGGGCATTTTCTGCTCACATTATCTTTTCCTGTCCAAATGAAACTTCGGCAAATTGCATCTACCTTCTTGATCACGCATTTGGGTAGGGGAAGGCAATGCATCCAATACCGTGCCATTGCATAAGAAATGCTTTTGACTAGTTGCATTCTTCCTGCATAGCTAAGTAGTCTAGAGGACCAATGATGTATTCTAGCCACTATTTTATCCACCAGGGGCATAAAATGATTGATGGTTAGTCTTTTGCTCGATAAGGGAATTCCCAAGTATTTGAAAGGTAATACCCCTTCTTGGAATCCTAACAGTTCCTTCAAAGTTTTTCTGGTTTCCATATCCAAACCCCCAAAATATATTTTGCATTTGTTAGGGTTCATCATCAGTCCTGTAGAGTTGGAGAATTTTCGGAAGGTTTCTAAAATCATTTCCATTGAGATTTCGTCTCCCCTACATAATAGCAGTATATCATATGCAAATGTGAGGTTGGTAATTTTCAGCTTCTCACATTTGGCATGTTAATTGAAGTTTGGATCTCTTTGCATCTTGATCAATAGTCAGTTCATGTATTCCATTATAAGGACAAAAAGGATGGGTGAGAGTGGATCACACTGTCGAATTCCCCGCTTTGCTGGTAGCACCTCAGTGTACTCCCCCATGATGTTGAACCTGTAGGATACAGTGGTGATGCCCAACATGGTCCATTGGATGAACTTATGGGGAATGCCCATCTCCTTCATAATGGACTCTAAAGCTTTCTAACTGACCATATCATATGCTTTTTGTAGGTTTATTTGCATCATAATTCTAGGTGTTCCCCCTTTTCTAGTGTATCCTTTTAGAAGTTCAATAGCAAGCATGATGTGGTTATGAATGTTTTGGCCTTTTACAAAAGCAGCCTGGTTGTGACTCACCACACTAGGTAGGACAAATCCTAGTCTGTCAGTCAGGATCTTGGAGATGATCTTGTAGAAAGTGGTGCAGACAGCTATAGGTCTGTAATCTTTAATCTCACAAGCCTTATTGCCTTTTGGAATCAGGGAAACAACAACATTGTTAAAAGGTTTGTACATTTTACTTGTCTCAAAGTACTCCTTAACTGCTACAATCACATCATTTTTAATGGTTGTCCAGCTGGCCTTGAAGAATCTGGCTCCATATCCATCCAGGCCTGGTGCTTTGAGGTCTCCAATTCCTCTAAGAGCTTTGGTGATGTCTTCCGCAGTGATATTTTTGATGAGGTATTCCCTCTGCTCCATGTTAAATTGGTTACCCAGCCTCATGACCTCAATGTCAATGTGGCTAATATTATTATCCTCTTTGCCTATCAAGTTTTTATAGAATTCCAACACTTCTTTTTCAATGTCATTATGGGATGTTAGTTGGCTGCCATCATTCCTTCTCAGGCTGTTAAGGAAATTAGCTTGCTGTTTATTTTTTATAGCAGCATAGAAATAGTGGTTATTTCCATCTCCCTTCCTAATCCAGTAGATTTTTGCCCTTTGTTGTAATATCTGCCATTCAAGCTCATTCAGTGATCCACTTCCTCAATCAGATCTTTTATCTTCCCAATCAAGGTGTTATTCATTCTATCCTTATTCAACTGTCCTTGTACTTTGTTGAGATTTGCTCTGGCTGCTGTCAGTTTGTGTTTAACATTAGAAAGAGGTTTGCTGAAATTTTTTAAATCGTGCTTCAACCTCTTGAGTTTGTGCCATAGTACATACATTGGACTCCCTCTAATATAACCTTCCCAAGCCTCTTGACTAAGGCTTCATATCCAGGTATTTCAGTAAGGCAGTTGCTGAATTTGAAATGTCTGGTAGTTTTCTTCTGTTCTTTATTCTCCAGATATAGCAAGGCATGATCAAAAATATTTGGTGGGAGAATTTTCAAAATTGTTTCCAAATTGTTGAGGAACCATTCAGTGTTACCCAAAACTCTGTCAATCCTTGAGTAGATGGGTCCAGCTTCCTGTTTATTGGACCATGTGAAATGGTATCCAATGCTATCCATCTCATGTAAACCTGTATTTTTCATCATGCTTTTCAGGTCTTCATATTCTTTCTCAGTCACCAGTTTTCCTCCCATCCTGACCTGCGCTTTGGTTACATTATTGTAGTCTCCAATGATACACCAGTGGCCTTGAATGTTAGCATACATTTGTTGTATCTCTTTCCACAAGATTCTTCATTGTTGTAACTGGTTATGGCCATAAATTGCAGTCAAACAGTATTTGAAAGTTCCAATGTTATCATATACACCACAATGGATAAATTGACTGCTACTTTGTATAAATTTTACATTCACCCTGGTTCTGTCCCAGTGAATCCATATCCTTCCATTTGTATGGTCTTTGTAATTGTCCATGTAATTATCATAAATTCTCAACTTTTCTCGAATGGCTTTGGCTCTATGTTCTTTAACTCTTGTTTTAATAAATATGATTACAGATGGCTTTAGTTCTTGGAGAAGGGAACTGATCTCACGAATTTTTCCTACTTTATTGAGTCCCCTTATGTTCCATGAGGCTAACATGGTTCAAGGTTCGTGATCACTTGATGATCATTTAAAACCTCAAGTGTTTCAAAACCATTGGCACAATTTATATTGTTTGTTGTATCAGTCAATATATTTTTGCCCTTATCTCGTGCAGATTTCCTCACCCTTGTCCAAGATGCTCCATCTTCACCATTTGTCTCTCCTCCTACTGGTTGTTTAGTAGGTGTGATGTTTTTGGTTGGTTCCAGTGGCTTGGGTTTTGGTATCCATTTTTGAGTCTTGCCTCTGTCTTCACAGTTATGCCCCAATTTTTGACATGTCTCACAGAATTTTGGCCGCCATTCATATTGAACAGGCTGCATTATGATATCCCCTGCAACATTCCTAATGGTTATCTCATCAATCAATGGTTGTGTAATATCCACTTCAATCAATATTCTTGCATATGAGACACGCAACTTGTTCGCTGTGCATTCAACAGTCACTAGTGGTTTGCCAATGACACTTCCAATTTTGCTGAGACTTTTTGCTCCCCAAAGATGCAGGGGGAGTTGAGGTAATTTGACCCATATTGGTAGTGTTCTGAGTAGACCCTTCTTCAAGTTGAAACCAGATTGCCATTCTTTCAGTATCATGGGCATATTTCTAATCGTGTAAGGGCCTCTCATCATGATAGCTTCCTTGTCTTCCTGTGAGTTAAATCGTAGCAGAAAGTACTCGTCATCATGGTAATACAGATCTGGCATTTTGATGAAGTTCCACATTCTTTGTATAAAATTCTTCATCGTGTTCATACTCAAATCATCTCCGACAACATATAGAATTAGGGCATTATCCCAAAATCGTAGCTCTGTTTCAATGTCTTCCTGTTCAATATCAATTTCAATCACTCCATTAATTACCTTTGGTGCAACATATTCCATTGATAATCCCTTAACAGGGTTTCGATTGTCACTAATGACGTCAACCCATAGCTTTCGCTCGTCCGATTTCACTTGTGGTGGTTCTGTTAGGGTTTCCGTGGTAGCTTGCGCGAGCTTCTCAATGTTTGTCACATCTTCGTTCACTGTAGGGGTAGTGCTTGGTTCAGCCTCAGGAGTCTTCAGGCTAGCAAGATTCTCCAGTGATGGTGGCACCGTGGATTTCGGCCGCCCGCGTCCCCTTTTCGTCGTCGTCATTCTAAAGTGAATAATTCTTGATTTTGTTTTAATTAAAGATGATACCAAATTTTTATGAAAATATTTGTAACAAACAATACATTTTTGCCTATTTATAAAAATAATTCTATTAACGGTAGAATTTTCCCTTTTTATAAAAATAATTGTTACAATAATACACTTTTTTTATAACTGTATCAACAATACACTTTTTTTTGTTGATAAAAATATTTGTATCAACAATACATTTATTAATCTTTATAAAAATATTTGTATCAATAGTAGACTTTTTCCGTTTATAAAAATGTTTATAACAAACAATACACTTTTTCTCGCTCTAAAAAATAATTGTTTCAACAATAGACTTTTTTCAGTTTTTAAAAATATTTGTATCAACAATAAACTTTTTCCATTTAAAAAGGTCAATATCAACAATACACTTTTTCTTATATATATATATATATATATATATATATATATATATATATATATATATATATATATATATATATATATATATATATATATATATATATATATATATTAACAATTGCCCCTACGACAAATAGTCATTAACAAATAAACTCACATAGTCAACATTTTATCTTGTGTTGAATACAAATTCTATTTTCCCATTGCCCACACAATAAATAACATCAGTGGAGCATACTTAAGTGAAAGTACTTTTTTGAAGTAAACTCATAAATAGATATTATGATATAACATTACAAAAATAATATCGTGTATAAGCAACTATAAACATATACATAAACCAAAAACTATATCACTTTGTGTCAAACAAAATGTGAAAACAACTCTCTTCTATTCCATTATCATACTGATATGTTCATGGCAAAACAAAATGTCTTCTAGTCTCAATAGTTGAAATATTATATTAGATTAGATTTAATATTTCGATATAATCTAAGTTCTGTTGACCCAAGCTCAATTAGGGTTTGTTATTTAGTTTGTTATTTTGAGTATATATAAATAGTCATAGTATGTATCATTATTTTATAACAATTCAATAAATCCTTATTTTCTTATTCTCTCCTCACAAAAGTGCCTCACGCACTAACAAATTGGTATCAGAGCCTAGTTAGATTCTTGATCGTGTTTTCAAGAATCACACGCCAGAGGTCGTGTTTCCGGAATCGTGGGTTATTGTGGATAAATTGCTGCAAAGATTAATGGTAGTGGAAATTTACCAAACTCCTTTCCAACTCTTGACGACAAGAATTGGCTTCGATGGAGAAAACAGATGCAATCTCTATTTGCCTTTCATGAAACCCTAGAAGTGGTTACTAATGGCGTTCATGTGCTTGGTGAAGATGCAATCGTAGCACAGAGAATCGCTCACAAGGATGCCAAGAAGAAGGATTTCAAGGTGGCGTTCTACATTCAATTGGCAATGGATGTAGACAACTTCGACAGAATCGCTCATACTGAATGAGAGAAAGAGGCATGGGATATTATTGTCAAGTACTATGAAGGAGGCGAGAAAGTTAAGGTTGTTAAGTTGCAAAGTTTGCGACGACAATATGAATTGTTGTCAATAGGAGAAGATGAAAAGATTGTAGGCTATGTGTCGAAGGTGCAAAAACTCATCCATTTCATGAAAGGTTGTGGTGAAACCCTAACTGATAAGATGATAGTTGAGAAGGTAACGCGTACATTGAACTCTCACTTTGATCACATTATCCTAGCTATTCAAGAATCCAACAATCTTGAAACACTAAAATTGGAAGATTTAGTTGGTTCGTTGGAAG